TAAGATTTTCTTGTGTGATTTGTTTCAGTGTTTGCCATACACATGTTTAATAGATTTAACAACTTAACTACGTTGTTCTTTCAATAATTGAAATGCAAATGTATATTGTTGAAGGTATCCTCATAAATCAACTGATATTTATGACTAGGATTTATTTATTTTCAATTGCATTGCGTGGTTTTACAAAACATGTAAAAATTGATGTCAACTTTGTAAAAATTTCCTGAATTGCAAAAAAGAATTGGATTAAAGTATATAGGATGAGGATACCGAATAGGATTCTATAGATATTCATTTTAATAAAGTAATTAAATTAAAACCATGAAATAAAAAAAAAACAATCAATTTGAAAGTTAATTACTTATATTGGAAGCCGCAGAAATATATTTTTACAACAGCAGGAACTAATTATCTTTAATTAGACGTTTGTTTTCCAAACAACAGTATTTGCTAACACCAACTGAGGTTTCCACTTTTTGCACTGGTTCTTGCATAATATTTTATTATCGAAAAGAAGCCAATCGTTAATATTTTGTGAAATAAGTTTTCTTTATTCTTAAAATGCCTACAATTAAGTATTGCTAAGTAAATTGTCACGCTGAATATACTAATAATAAACAACGACGACTTCTGTCACATCTTTTCTTCTTCTGTGAGGTAAGACACGCTTCTACACATATTTATTTATGCATTTATGCATAACTTTATAAAACACTATATTTGCTCAAGCGAGTAAAGCGTAAGGTGTCTTGCGATGCAATAGCAACGTCCAGGATGTTGTGATGATCATCGTGAATACCGAAAGCGGCGAGGCGCTAATTCGCAGCTTTGAACGTAATATAATTTAACGTGCAAAGTGAAAGGAACTGTTGGTCACCCGGATGAATATTTTAATAAGTCGATCACGGTCCGTTGCGCAGACGTGTGTCTCATCGGAGTGATGCTGTACGAAGGCAACCGTAATACGAGTTGCCATCCCATCCCGGCTTAACGCTGTACGGCTTTCGACATAATCGTTACTTTTATAAATTTACGACACGTTAATACTCTCTACAGTAGCCACCGTCGAATTGCGGCGACAATTTTCACTTGATATTATCAGAGGGAAAGGAACGGCATACATTGAGAGCGTGTGCGCGCGACTCCGATTTAATTTGAATGCGAGATGTGTGTAATGAAGGTGCTGTTTTTCCTTATCTTATTATTGCCAACGTTGTTTTCTTCCGAAAGTACTGAAATACGCAATTAAGAGGAAATTTCTCGACGCGCGCGCACTCGCCATCAGCGCACGGCGATCATTTGGGCTGCCAGTACTTTATAATTTCGCATTGTGTCATGTTGCGTAAGGTGGATGCCTTAACTATTCTCTTTATTCACGCGCACTTTGATGGTTACGCATTATGAAGCATTGTTGCATTCGCGCAATGCGTACTCAACGTCGTGCTTGTCGATGTCCACTAAGACAATATTAACTTTCTGTGAACCGCTCTGGATTTAAGTACGATACTTAGCAACCTTTTATATTTCTGTTGTCACAAAGCGTGACAATGTCAGCAATGAAGATCATTAAACTTCATTAACTGCTTGAAACTTGAAACAAATTAGCATTTAATGGTTGTACTCGTAATTACTGAAGAATGACTGGACTTTTAGGTTTTTGACTTTCTGCAAAATTTGCGAATCCGGAATTCGCGTTAATAATGCATCCGCTGGTGGGCAAAACCAAAGGATTACGCGAACTGCGAATTACTCTCGAGTGGGGAGCACTTCGTTACGGAAGTGAAAGTGAAACAATTTTCGTTTACGGTTTTTTGCTTTATCTTACTGCTTATTTAACTCAGAGATGCTGTTCCGTTGAGAAAATTGGTATGTTCACTATAATAAGAACGATGACTATATTATTCAACACTAATATAATCTTGTCGTGGATGCGATGAGCGCACAATCATGTTTTTTGTAATGGAATTTAAGATTAGCTATGAGTGTCGAACCAAAAACGCGATTTAATATCTCTGCTATTATAATACCATTCTGCCAACAGTATAAGTTAATTTTACGGATAATTGTCTTTGTTGTTTCACCGGCGAAAATTGAAATATTGACATGATTGATACTTGCGATTTTCTTCTTTTGGCATACAATGTGCAATTTCACAAACAAAGGTATTGTTTATATCCGTGGCCACATAAGCAGTAAATCATCATTTATTGTTTATTGATTCACATATTTAAAAAATTAAAACTATTACTAAATACAACATAGTAATAAAATATTATTGATCATAAATAACTTTTCGTAACTTGTTGGTACAAGAGTAATAACGACAATAGTAATATAAATATGTACCTACTTCAATTGTCCTGACTAATTAAAAAAAAGTCACGGCAACTTTCGTTTTGAGAATTAGGATTGCAGTGTGTTTTATTATGAAATACGTAATCGCTGCAATAGATTTACGATTTATAACAATGTAATAATGGTGCCGTTCACTAACATTACATTATATAAAATTCTACCATCGTCTAAATGAGAATTTGGTTAGCGAATGCAAACTGCTCTTTAACAGTTTTATTTATAGCATCCTTTCGATATTTCTAGTCCATCTTGTACATCCCTTTCACTTGCAAGTTTTCACTCTTTACAGAGATGATACAAGCCTGCGCTGCTTTTTGGGCGACTATATCAAGTGGTTCTGGTTGAAATGTCCTCTTAAAATACATAAAATATTGAAATCGCATTTGAGCTCGTCCAGATGGACGCACTTACTCGTATTGCCAAGCGGCCAAATGCGACTAATCTTGTGTTTGTAAGTGAAAGGATCTTGAAATTGGCCGCATTCTCCAGAGAAAGATAGACGACATATTTAGTGCGAAGCAAATTGTTATAACAAAGAGCGAGTATAACGTGGGCAATGCATGCGTCGGAAGAACAAAGCATCTGGCATTGATTCCGGCAGAAAGTATTTTCTACAAAGACACGATGATGATGCCGATTACGAAACCGTCAATTAGAACTAGCGTAACAAGTCAGAAACGAATCAAAACGTATGAGGTGTCTTCCTGTAGTTACAAACAATTTGATGGTTATGCCAAAACAAGCAAAACAGATGCAATTTATTTTTACTTATGATTTAAGTAAATAACTCGAAATTTCAAAATCAGAAAATTTGAAATTTACACAAATTTTAAAAGAAAAAAAATTACATATTGTTAAGTATACCTACATAGTTGCAAATGGCTATAAATTAACATAATTAGCTATTGAATTAAATAGTGACGTAATAGACTTTTCAATGCATCATTAATAAATTTGTTTTTTAAAATCATGCAAATGGACATTGCACATCATATTTACTCACTGCAACAAAGAATACATAAGATTTTAACTTTTCATATTTCACACGCACATTACCTATCTTCGAAATGCTTTGAAATGACTAAATTAAGAGAAAAAGTTTATGCCTATGTAGGTTCCAAACATGAGACCTGATTGTGAGCAAAATAATTTTCGTGTGAACTTGCACACCAAACAAAACCATTTTGCAAATGTTTATTTTGTATTCTACTACATATATTCCCATTTATCTCCATACATACATGTTCTGGTATTAAGATGTATCGCATTTCCAATCAACGCACGATTATGAAAGAAAATACGTGGCTGAATTGTTTTAGTTAATCACATGTTAGGGGCAAATAAGTCAATTTTTTCACAGAAATACGAATTAAAGGTTCCTAATTTTTAATCTACCAAAAGTATCTCAAAAACAAAACTTTCCATAAAAAATTCAATTTAATACCTGTTTTCACATATTCGTATTCCTATTGCCATCTACTTTTCTATATATACCTATATATGGATATATTTTTAATTTAATTGGATTATATTGTTATCAATTGATTTCACTTACCTTGATTAAAAATCTGTCCTGGATAAATGTGCTCCATATAAACCATGTAAAACCTCATAACACAATCAATATTGTTGATTGCTATTGGTGGTGTAAACAAGTGGACGAAAATAATTGGGCGATTTGTGAAGTAGTAAATAAGTTCTTGTTTCAATCTGCATTTAAAATTACTGTTAAATTGCGTAACAGATCACTTGAATGGAGATCAATTTTGCTATGTATGTTTCCAGCACGTTTGTTAATTTAACTTTGAGATGCACTATGCCAGCACAATATGTTTTCATTTAAATCACGTTCTTTTTTTAATTCTGCATTTAATTTCCGATGAATTATATGCAGATATTATATCGAAATTTATTTCATTTCAGGATGGTATTAAACTTCTTAAAGCGGTAAGCATCTTTATGAAGTTTTAATATAAATAGATTTTTTCAAATATTTTTTCCAAAATTTTTTAGTCGTAAATATTAATTTTGAATTTTATTGCAGGAATAATTCTTCAATTATTAATCTCTATGAGGTTCAAGAGTCAATTTTTATTCGTGTTTAACTCAGATAATCAGCGGCAAAATATTAGGTGTTATATTAAAATAAAGAAAGAAGAAAGTTGATAAAAATATTTGGTGCTGCTCTGCACGTTGATATTATGCCAACATTTGCTACATTTCTGATTGTGAAGTCTATAAATACCAACCACGCTCAATTTTGTTCACTCAATGGCAATAAAACTCATTTGATTGCCAAAATAAAAACCGTTACTTAAAAATCTATATCCGCACTTTAATACAATACGAAACAGAATTCCATCGAAATGTTCTGATTTCGTGAAGTGAATGTCGCGAATAATAAAACGAGCAAGTGACCTTTAATAGTACAATTTCTCTGCTTGTCAACCCAGTAGAACTACAGCTCTAAATCGTGATCGTCATGTTGATTAATCTTGAGCGTTGTTTAATGTACAAACTTTTAAGGCTTTTGTTTCGTATCTCTCTATCTACGAGTTTTCGTGTCCGGTTTGTAAATCTCTAGCATTAAACACGATGTTCTCAAACTGTGGTGATTGCTAATTGTGCTGTACTTTGTATTCCAGACCGTCAACCGAGCTCTGAGACTGAAAGAGGCCGAGAAATACGATGAAGTCGGCAACAGTGCGCCAGGTCCCAATGTTCCTCTGGCGTTACAGAGCATCCAGACGACGGATGGACGACTAACGTGGAATTATTTCGATGAAGCTGGATATGTGTCTCGAGGCGGGCTGCGAAAAGGCGAAGACCCGTACGTTAGAAATCGATTCAACCAGGAAGCCAGCGATAACTTGCCAAGCAACCGGGAGATTCCAGACACGCGAAATGCAATGTAAGTTCAATTGAAAGATGTACTGAATGTAGGTTTCATTTTGATGATGTACTAGCTATTATTAGTCGCACATTCAGGTGAATCAATAGGGGCTATCACCAATACACCTTTTGCTTCTTCACATTGTTGGATTTACCAAACTGATAATACGATTTGAACAGATAGCGTTTTATTGAAGCTTTTATTTGACAAGCCATTTGTACTCGCTTGAATGTTTCAGAATTAACTCCACAAATCGTGATTTTTATTCGCAATAATGACGGCTGGTCGATTTGCACAATTGATTGATGTGATTCTGTATCATTTGAAATAACTAATCGGTTGGGATGCAAATATACCCCCACCGGTCCCAGCAATTTTTAATATATATTTACAACCAACGACGATTTTATTTTATTTCATTTACTCACTGTTTAAAATTACGCAGTACATTCACAATTATATAACAATGAAGTAATAAAAGATATAAAATTGAATGAAAATTTCGGGGTTGGCGTGGAAAAACAGAGGCGGGCAAATATGTTTGATCTTTAAATATTGGCACTGTACATGCAGTAAAAATAATAACATACTCGCACCTTTAAGAAACCCTGAGGTTCTACTTCAGGCCCCAAACATGCTTTACATAATATAGCGAAAAGGCGAAGACCCGTACGTTAGAAATCGATTCAACCAGGAAGCCAGCGATAACTTGCCAAGCAACCGGGAGATTCCAGACACGCGAAATGCAATGTAAGTTCAATTGAAAGATGTACTGAATGTAGGTTTCATTTTGATGATGTACTAGCTATTATTAGTCGCACATTCAGGTGAATCAATAGGGGCTTATCACTAATACACCTTTTGCTTTCACATTGTTGATTTACCAAACTGATAATACGATTTGAACAGATAGCGTTTTATTGTGCTTTTATTTGACAAGCCATTTGTACTCGCTTGAATGTTTCAGAATTAACTCCACAAATCGTGATTTTTATTCGCAATAATGACGGCTGGTCGATTTGCACAATTGATTGATGTGATTCTGTATCATTTGAAATAACTAATCGGTTGGGATGTGAATATACCTCACCGGTCCCAAAGCAATTTTAATATACATATTTACAACCAACGACGATTTTTTATTTTATTTCATTTTTTATTTCACTGTTTAAAATTACGCACATTCACAATTATATAACAATGAAGTAATAAAAAGATATAAAATTGAATGAAAATTTTCGTGGGTTGGCGTGGAAAAACAGAGGCGGGCAAATATGTTTGATCTTTAAATATTGGCACTGTACATGCAAAAAATAATAACATACTTTCGCAATTTTGCGAAACCTGAGTGTTCATTGTATCTCAACATGCTTACATAATATATATAATATAATTTTTATCATTAACATAGATAAGTCACTTTTAGACAAATAATAGTAATTATAGTGTCTCGGTAAATTTTGAAAGTAGATAATACATTTAGACGTCGAGTGTATTCAAAGGCTATAAATCTTGTTGACACCTTTTAGCAATTACTCTTCATATACTAGGAATGAATGTTAATTCATTTACGATATACATCATAACTTTAATACAGACAAGAAATTCTCATTATGAAAAGATGTGGTAACGTATGCCGCGGATGAAGAAAATGGCATGACTATGTTCTAAAGCAGGGCTGGCCAATCCCAGGCCCGCGGGCCACGAGGTGGCCCGCCAGGACATTTGAATTTGCCCGCCGCACAAACCAAAGTTGGAACTTTTGTATATGTATAATATTTTATGTATGAATGGCCATAGTCTGTGGCCCGGTGCTGCCGCATTCTAAAAAAATTGGCCCTCCAGGAAAATCCATTGGCCAGCCTTGTTCTAAAGGAATTTACTTTCTTTTAGTATCGATAACATTATGACACATTTGGACAATATTTTACTTATTTTATTTTTCATGACTTGACAATTTAGAAAATTACGCATTTTCAATCTGCGTTCTACGGGTGCAATACGGATACATATAAGGTTTGAAAAGAGAAATGTACAATAAATCTACTCAACAACTTTTTGAAAAAAACGGATTCTACTAAAGATATTGTCTTGTATTAACTTCCTGCAAAAAACAATTTCAATTTTTTAATTCTATGAGTTATTGTATATGTTTTTATCGTACTCACGCTCATTTGCACAATGTAGTACTTTTATCTTGTCATTCAATTTGTTAAATTTCTATAATTGAAGACATTTGTTATAATTTGTACTAACAGATATAATTATGGCATTGGCACCATAACATTTACACAAAATTGAACAAAAGTTGTTTTAACACATAATTGCTTCAAGGTATTCTATTAATGTGTCGAAAATTGGCTACAGTAAATGTTAAGTCATTTTAGCATGGGATGGTAAATTAACGTGCACAAAAAACACCAGCAATTACTTTCTTTTGAAAATCGAAACTAATTTAATGATGTCTGTTTGCTCATCTCAATTATCGAGTTTGGAACGTGTTTACATGTTTTGCACATCAAGCAAAATCGTCTAAATACTGTTGAGATCAAAAGCCTAAAGCGCTTGAATAAATTTAATAATGTTTAATGATACTTTTTAATCCATTTACTAATCCAGCCAAAAGAATCTTTCACACATTGCTGGCATGTTGACCTGTGAAACGAGTGAAAATTATTGACAAAAAGTAAGTTGGAAAGTAGTTTTTGGCACATCGTACCTGTACACAAACAAGAAAATTAACTTTCTTTCTACCGAAGGTATAATTTTAATGTAACTTTTAACTACAGTTTAAACGCCGAGCAACCCAATATGGGTAATAACTAAGTACGAAGTTTTGTTGTAAGAAATACGAATGTTTTTCACGCAAATTTATAATTTACTTACACAAATCGCAAGGATTAAGACAATATTCCACTTATTTAAATTTGTTTTTTACTTTCACACCTTACAGGATTGATGACTCTTTATAATTTCGCAGTTTTCTTTTCACTTAAATTACTTTCATAACATCAACTTTATTTTAAAACACTTCAAGTATCATTAATGAAACTTCGATGAGATGCATTAATATATGATGGCAATGAAGCAGCATTCCACCGAGGAGTAATACTATAAATTAGTAACATACTCCTTTCGCTTTCCAAGCAGATAGCCGAAGATGCGTAATATTGTACGTGTGTGTTTAGGTTTGAAGTAGAAAATGACTTGAGATTTATTTAAATTCCATACATGGCGCTCTGCAGATTAGATTGCGTTAACATTTCTACATCAAAGCACTTCAAGAACGAGCAAATATACACTTATATTTACATTTTATATTTACCTACATCATATGATGCACATGCAATTTCAAAAAGCATTGGATTACTATGAGAATGTTGTTTCATCACTATTTTACATGAAACGAATTGGCAAAATGTTATTTGGCTCAAAATTATGTTATAAAATAATAATTTCCATATTTTAACAATTTTGAATATACCTGCAACATCTTACATTATAATAATAGATGCTTAAAATAAATTTTTCATGGCGCCAACATCCGCATTATTTTATGGTAATTATATCAAATTATGCGCAAATATTGAAATTATCACTTTCAATCGGTATGTTTGTCTCGTCGCGTATTCTCTAACGGTAGCCCGTTAAAAACCTTTATTAACTGTTTATATTATCATGCTTGCTTTATTTACTTGAAAATTTGTTTAATTAATTACCAGCAATTTATATAAATGCGATATTTCAGGCAATATTCTAGAATTCAATAAATTTTTAAAGCACTGTAGAAAGTTGTCAATGTGTACTAAATATACAAGGTGCCATAAAACAATTTCCCATTGCACAATTGCATTTAGGAAGTAAAGTAGCGTTGTTATCAAAAAAGGTCATGCACGTTTGCCATGTACGGGTATAGAACTTTTACTAGAAGTAAAATTTATATCGGAATGAACGAATGGTGGATTTGAAACATTTTCAATTTCATTTACTATGCTTCGGCATGATAGTATCTTCTTTTCTGAACAACGTACGAAGATGTATGTTTAATGCCCCGTTCACATCTGCTTTAAAGGAAGAAATATCCGTCTGATGCATTTCTGCACTTACTTGCCGCACACGGCAATTGCCTTCGCAACATGATATTGCAAACCACTCGTGCATCAGGATAAATAAAGATGGCTCGGCGTCTAACGAAATCCACACAATGTAAAATTATTGTGAACATTATGAACATGAATTCATATACTTTGTACGTTTAAAACATTAATAAATAAATCTATATCAAAGTGTTAGGCAATCAAGATTCACATGTGAAAGTAAAAGTTTCATGACAACCCAAGTATGAACATTTATTTAGCATATTAATGACATTCCGTGTACTTTTACAGGTGTCGTGAAAAGACTTTCCAAGCAGACTTACCACCTACAAGTGTAATAATTACATTCCACAACGAAGCGCGGTCGACACTTCTGCGAACCGTAGTTAGGTATGTGATCAAATACGAAACTGCAATATTAAGTAACTTACCTCATTTGTTTATCTCTTTTAGTGTACTTAATAGAAGCCCGGAGCATTTAATTAAGGAAATAATATTAGTCGATGACTTTAGTGATAACCCTGCCGATGGTGAAGAACTAGCAAAAATTCAGAAGGTGCGCGTTCTTAGGAACGAAAAACGCGAAGGATTGATGCGGTCGAGGGTGCGCGGTGCAGACGCAGCTATCGCAAATGTGCTCACGTTTCTAGACAGCCACTGTGAATGTAATGCGAACTGGCTGGAACCACTTTTGGAGCGAGTCGCAGAGGATCCGCATCGCGTAGTCTGCCCTGTCATCGACGTGATCAGCATGGACAGCTTCCAATATATTGGCGCGTCGGCAGACCTCCGGGGCGGATTTGATTGGAATTTGGTGTTCAAGTGGGAGTATCTGAGTCCGATGGAGCGGCAAAGTAGACTGAAAGATCCGACACAAGTAAGTTTTAGTTTTTGTTTTCTGACATGGACTCCGCTTTTAAACGAAACTAATATTAACTTATGTTTTAGGTCATTAGGACACCTATGATTGCAGGAGGTTTGTTTGTAATTGATAAAGATTATTTTGAAAAGTTGGGCAAATATGATATGAAAATGGACGTCTGGGGCGGCGAAAACTTGGAGATATCGTTCAGGGTGTGGCAATGCGGGGGCACTTTGGAAATTATTCCATGCAGCCGTGTCGGTCATGTGTTTCGCAAACGTCATCCTTACACGTTTCCTGGTGGCAGCGGTAATGTATTTGCTAGGAACACGCGAAGAGCAGCTGAAGTTTGGATGGATGACTACAAGAACTACTACTACCATTCGGTGCCTTTGGCAAGGACTATTCCATTTGGAGAGTACGTTGATTTTGTTTATAGTTGATTGATTATTTACAGCATTTACTTATTTACAGCATTCAGGATCGTTTGGATTTACGTGAACGTCTTCAATGTAAACCGTTCAAGTGGTATTTAGATAATGTGTATCCTGAATTGACGATACCAAAACCAGCGCGTCAGCACACGGTTAATGAAATACGGCAGGGAAGTTTTTGTATAGATACTCTTGGACACTTAATAGACGGGAATGTAGGACTTTATCAATGCCATCACACTGGTGGCAATCAGGACTGGGGGTTGACCAATAATGGATTGATTAAACATCACGAATTCTGCTTAACAATGTTAAGTCAAACAGTTACCATGAAAGCATGTGATGGCTCAGATGCACAAAAGTGGTCTCTAGTCGAACCGGGCGGATTGTTGCGACATTTCGTGTTGCCATTGTGTTTGGACAGCAAGTACTCGGATGTCCAAGGTCTCACCGTGCAAAGATGCAATACGCAGAGCCGATCGCAACAATGGGAGCTAGTAACGTGAGATTTATAAGTTATATAGACATCCAAACAAATTATTCACTTAGAAGCTTCACGCAGTTCATTAAATTTCGAATCTTATTGAAAATTAATTCCTGAGTTGTTAATTTAGATAGAATCAAGTCATTTCAATTCGTTGTGTATTAGTTACAATTTAGTCAAATCTTTAGGATTGGCTACTACCATTGAAAGCATCTCCATCCATTTTTACAAAAAAAGCAAATAGTCATTAAAGACTTAAATGTGTTTATAAAAGAAAATAATTGTAACCAAAATAAACTTAAAACAAAAATTGTACACATAGGTACAAGTATACTTGCATTGTTAATAGTGTTAACAATTTTAATATGTTGTGATACCAAAAGACGCATTCTATGTATATGATTTAAATAGCATTAGAGAAAAAAGTTTTATTTTTGTGCAATGTCGATTTTATTAAATTTTATTAATTTCACTATGTAAATATCGTGTACGGCGTTCGTGATAGCACAGAATTATGTTTCAACGCAAAAATATTTAATATAACATACTTGTACGGTCGTTAATTAATTTTAATAAATTGTAGATATTTGATATAAAAGTAATACTAATGTTTAGTGACAATAAAACAAACTGATTATTTATAAATTTAAATACAGCAGTATACTTATTTATGCGCTCTTTGTTTGATGAGTTCATAAATGAAACATAACATTTTTATCTATTAACAATTCAGTTTAAATCTATTTGATTAGAGATTCACAATAAATAAACGATTTTAATTTCAAAATGCTCTTAGACCTACGTAAGTATTTAATCTCATAAATTGCGCGCAGATGGCGCAACGATGTAGATTGATCTCGAAATATTCCAGCGAGTGAATTTTGTTTTGTTCAATCGGTGCGATAACGATGAGCGCGCATTCCACACTTTCGGCTTGTGTTATTCGTTGTTGCAAGTTCGGTACAACGTGATATATTTTCTAAATCGCCGGTGACAATTAGTGTTAATAAACGTGTTCGATCTTTTATCAGCTATTTATCGTGTATTTATTCACGTGTTTGTGAGTCCGTTGTCGTCGGGCGACGGCCTGCGATATCTTGTGAACGCTAATAACTAATTGACTTGTGAAAAACATATTTGTCATCAGCAGAGGAGCATGGATCATTGTGCTACCAGGTAAATATTGTCATTCCTATGATTATTATGCGAATAACAAGAATTTTAATTCAAGGCTTGGGTTCCGACGGAACTCAAATTTATTTCAACATCGCACGAAATGCTGTAACTAATGTTTTGTTTTGCGATTATTTCAGTATTCGCCAACTTGTCCTCGATATACAATCTTCCATAACCGGTAAGTAAAATATTTTCATCATTTATAAAAAATGTTTGCCGTGTACGTAGATTTCAGTTTACTTCTAAGTTTTATTGTTGTTCTGCAATGTAGTTTGATAACGAGAAACAATGCGTGTGCGAATTAAATATCACTGTAATATTTTATGTAAAATTTGACAATCGGGCAGCATGAGAAATCAGAATTACATTCATCGAATTTTAATTATTTATTAATTTTTATACTATACGAGTACATAGATAGATAGCATACATAGCATGAACTAAAAATCATAAAATAGACTTGTTTTGTTTATTTCTATGTTTATCAGCAAACGTGGGCATTCGACACGAGAATTGTGTTTGTTTGGAACACGATTTACTCTTTCTTATCGCATTCTCTTGTATCGTCGTTGCAATCCTTGCACGCTGCACGTTGCCGTATCTTGTTTACTTTCTTCTTCTAAATTGTCGGGTCGTTGCTTGCTCGGCTACCGCATGCACTATACGTGGATTGCGGTCAATTTCGTGCAGGTAGCTGCTAGCTTCAAACTTATTTCTCGCGTCTCGTATCGAAACTTCTCGAAAAACATGATGCAGCACACACACACACACACACACACACCCACAATGAATGGTTTACCTCACAAAATTAAATTATTTTGAATTTCCATCTGATAGAGAATTTTCCTATCATCCATAATCTACAGTTTTCTAGTTGCTATCTCTTGTAGTTGAGAAACCTATCGTATATATAGTCGCATTTTTCGGCCTTTTACTGTAGGAAATATAATTATTTTATATTTTTATCTGATTGAGAATTTTCCAATCTTTCATAATCAACAATTCGTTGGTAGCTATCTCTTTTAGTTTAAGAGATATGAATTTTTGAAAATCGTCGAAAAAAAGTATCAAGCACCCCCCCTTGGCAATTTTTTCTTAAGACTTAAAATTTCATGTCTCAGATTTCCCTTTTAACTATCCTATCTGATAGAGATTGGTCCGTAGATTAAGACGCTGCGATCAGATCTTATTTATCTCTTTTAGTTTACGAGATATTCGCGATTGAATAAAATGAGCAAAAATTGCAAAATGTCACTTTTTAGCACTTTTAGTCGCATTTTTCGACCTTTTACTGTAGGAAATATAATTATTTTATATTTTTATCTGATTGAGAATTTTCCAATCTTTCATAATCAACAATTCGTTGGTAGCTATCTCTTTTAGTTTAAGAGATATGAATTTTTGAAAATCGTCGAAAAAAAGTATCAAGCACCCCCTTGGCAATTTTTCTTAAGACTTAAAATTTCGTCTCTCAGATTTCCCTTTTAACTATCCTATCTGATAGAGATTGGTCCGTAGAGTAAGACGCTGCGATCAGATCATATTTATCTCTTTTTAGTTTACGAGATATTCGCGATTGAATAAAATAGGCAAAAGAAATTGCAAAATGTCACTTTTTTAGCACTTTTAGTCATTTTTCGACCTTTTACTGTAGGAAATATAATTATTTTATATTTTTATCTGATTGAGAATTTTCCAATCTTTCATAATCAACAATTCGTTGGTAGCTATCTCTTTAGTTTAAGAGATATGAATTTTGAAAATCGTCGAAAAAAGTATCAGCACTTGTGAATTTTTTCTTAAGACTGCATTTCATCTCTCAGATTTCCCTTTTAACTATCCTATCTGATAGAGATTGGTTCGTAAATTAAGACGCTGCGATCAGATCTTATTTATCTCTTTTTAGTTTACGAGATATTCGCGATTGAATGAAATAGACAAAATTGCAAAAATGTGTCACTTTTTAGCACTTTTTTAGTCGCATTTTCGACCTTTTACTGTGGGAATATGGTATTTTATATTTTTTATCTGATTGAGAATTTTCAATCTTTCATAATCAACAATTCGTTGGTAGCTATCTCCTTTAGTTTAAAGAGATATGAATTTTTGAAAATCGTCGAAAAGTATCAAAGCACCCCCCATAGCAATTTTCTTAATACGTAGAATTCATCTCTCAGATTTCCTTTTAACTATCCTATCTGATAGAGATTGGTCAATAGATTGAACTGCGATCAGATCTTATTTATCTCTTTTTTAGTTTTGCAGAGATATTCGCGATTAGATAAAATGAGCAAAATTGCAAAATGTCACTTTTTAGCGCACCCCAGTCGCACTTTTCGACCTTTTAAGCCAGGAAATATAGTGTACATATTTTTATCTGATTGAAGGGAAATTTTCGTCTTTTCATAATCAACTGGTGCGTTGGTAGCTATCTTTTAGTTTAGAGATGTAGATTTTTTGAAAATCGTCGAAAAAGTATCTAACTATGGCAATTTTTCTTAAGACTTAAAATTTTACTAAATCTCTCAGATTTTCCCTTTAACTTCTCCTATCTGAGTAGAGATTGGTCCGTAGATTATTAGACACTTTTGCGATCAGAATCTTATTTATCTCTTTTTAGTTTACAGGATATTCGCGATTGAATAAAATGAGCAAAAATTGCAAAATGTCACTTTTAGCACTTTTTAGTCGCACATTTTTCGACCTTTAACTGTAGGAAATATAATTATTTTTATATCTTTATCTATTAGAAGAATTTACGATTGAATAAAATGGACAAAATATTGAAAATTGCATTTTTATGTTAAGAATTACCAATTTTGCTTGTTTTAAGTTTTGCACCTGGAGTCTGACATCGTAGGGGACCATTTGGTATCGTTACTTAAGTAATTAATTTCTTTATCATTTTTAATATAACTTTTATGATTATCAGTACAAATTGACCCCAAGGTACTGCATTTTTGTATGTTTGAAGGGACTAATTTTGCTTGTTTTAGGAGTTTGCACCTGAGTCTGACATCGTGGAAGGGACCATTCTGAGTATCAGTTGTAAGTAATTGAATTCCTTTATCATTTTTCTAAATAACTTTTGTGAGATATCTCCTGGAAATTAACCCTTAAAATTGCATTTTTATGTTCAAAAGCCTTAATTTTGCTTGTTTTAGGGATTTTGCACCTGGAGTCTGACATCGTAGAAGGACCATTCTGGTATCAGATTGTAAGTAATTAATTCCTTTATCATTTCTCAATAACTTTTGTGATTATCGTACAAATTGATCCCAAAAGGGTGCATTTTTATATTTCGAAGGACTAATTTTTGATGGTTTTTAAGGGATTTTGCACCTGGAGTCTAACTTTATCGTAGGACCATTCTAGTATCAGATTGCTTAAGTAATTGAATTCCTTTATCATTTTCCTCAATAACTTTTGGCCAGTTATCATTTTCTGTGGAACAGTCTAAAAGTACATTTTATATTCGAAGGACTAATTTTGATAGTTTAGGGATTTTACACAAGGTCTAACATCGTACAGAAGGACCATTTTCGGTATCAGATTGTAAGTAATTAATTCCTTTGTATCATTTTTTTTTTTAAATAACTTTTACTTAGTTATCGTACAAATTGACCCCCAAATTGCATTTTATATTTGAAGGACTAATTTTTGCTTGTTTGGGGATTTTTGCACCTGAGTCTGATGACATCGTGAAGGGACCATTCTAGTATCAAGATTGTAGAAATTAATTAATTCTTTTATCTATTTCTAAATTAGCTTTTGTGATTATCGTACAAATTGATCCCGAAGTGCATTTTTTATGTTCGAGAAGGACTAATTTTTGGTAGTTTAGGGATTTTGCGCCTGATCTGACATCGTAGAAGGGACCATTCTGTATCCATTGTTGCATAAACATTTTAGTTCGTGAGGTTCATTTGGTAGATTAATGTGATGACCTACACTCACCATACATTACAATTGTAATGACTTCAAAGTTGAGATAAACGCCTGTTCAGATGAGTTTGCCTTACTGTTACAAATTCCTGCTGCTTTTGTTATTGTTGGTTTCCGGATGTGATTTGTGGATTTTGTAGCCGTTAGGTGAATTGGAGTTGTTTGAATGCATTGCTGGTCATACTCCCTGGGCGACTCAGTAAGCGGCCGACTTTCGAGTTCCATTACTCACGGGATTCAAATATCCTTCTGGTGAGTTGACGGCCTTCTTCTTTGGACTTCTCTTTGGTTCTGGTGCTTTGTTGCATGTTTGGCGGAAACTATTCATCAGACCTTCTTCACTCATATTTCTCACTTGGATATTTATACTTGTAGAGGTTGAACAATTGCTCAACTTTCTTGCATTTGAATGCAAATATGCCTGGCGCAGGGAAGGCGTTGGGCCATCGTTGATTTCAGGTAGTTTTAGTTTAGAATTTGCATAAGGGTATTCCGTGCAAATTTCCAAAGGACGACGCGGCGAAGCCATT